TCCCCCCCAACTTTGTGCCATCTGCAACTTTGCTGACGGTGCACTCAATCCCCTCATCCAAATCATCAGCAAAGATATTAAAGAGAACTGGGACCAACACTAATCCCCTCATCCAAATCATCAGCAAAGATATTAAAGAGAACTGGGCCCAACACTGACCCCTGGGGAACACCACTAGTGACCGACACCAACTGGATGCGGCACCATTCACCACCACTCTGGGTTGTGATTCTGGGAAGCCTGGGTATTTTCAAGCTGGTGATCAAACCCCAGTCACACATCTCTAATGTAAAAAAAAATCAGATCATTTTCTTACATTAAGCTGGCTTGAACTGCAAATTTCTCTCTTTCTTCTTGCCAGGTATTTCCCACAAAGAGCTGGTAGATGTAGCTAAGCAACACTTCAGTGGAGTGCCTTCTGCATACAAAGAGGATGCTGTGCCTGTCGTGCCGCTCTGTCGCTTCACAGGGAGTGAGGTAAAGTCATTCTGGTCCCAAACAAAACAAGCAGCTGTTGTCCAACTGTTGAATGAATGTGAAACCACTTACAGCTGCTTCTGAGAGAAACAAATCTGTGTATCTCAAAGAAGCTGATGATGCAGCATCTTGGTAGTGCTCCCATGTTCTGTTCCTGGGCCTTATTGCTACATGTTGGATTTTAGATATGACCCAAATCCATTAGGAATGTGAGTCTGTTACTCATATCATCTGCTGGAAAACTCACATCAAAGCAGCTGTTTTGTGTGCAGTAGTGCCTGGGACTCTTTCATTTCACTGGAATCGCATCAAGTGCCCCAGTTTGTCAGCAGGCTGCAGACAAAGCACAGTGCTCATGCAGTTCTCCCCCACTCCTTGATGATCTAGATCCGTGCCAGGGATGATGCTCTGCCTGTTGCCCATATTGCTCTTGCTGTGGAGGGACCAGGATGGGCCGATCCAGACAACGTTGTCCTCAATGTGGCTAATGCTATCATCGGGCGCTATGACCGCACTTTTGGAGGTGGTAAGGTAAGAGGTTTGTGAGTGCCATAGGGAGAGCCTGGAGCTTTTTTGTATGAAGTATTATGGGGACCCTAGTTATAAATATGCCTTAGGGGAGGCTGCTGTGGTTGGCTTCCAACTGTGAAGGGGTTAGGAGCCTGGAAAGTAGGATAGAAATGTAACTGAAGCTAATTCAGGAAGTTCTTGACAGGTCATACTGGGAAGTGAACTGAACCTTCCCTGGTAAGTTTGGAAGATGTTTAGCTGATGAATTCTCAGCAGCTTATTCCCACCCTCACAACTAACCACTTGGTGGGGGTGGTGATGGAAGCAGGACAGAATAGTCTGTAGTCTCATGATGCAAGCTTGCCTTACAACTGCAGAGCAAGTGGAACCTGTTTAAAACACCAATATTGCATCCATTATTCTCTGGAATCTGTCTGGCCTGTATAACTGTGCTGGCCCCTGCTGTGGGAGACCTTGTGCTTCCCATTTTCTCCCACTCCTGCAGTGGTATGCATACCAGCTCCTCATCTGCAGCTGGGAAAGGAAATGGTTTTGCTGGATGGACTCTTAGGCCATTGTCTGTGGCTTTTCCAACAGTGAGTCTCATCTGTTGACCACATGAAGGCTCTAAATTAAGTCCTTCTTCAGTAAAGTGTTCTGTTCTGTCTTGTCTGTGGTCTTTATGAAAACAGCTCAGTGGGAAAGAATGTGAGTTGTGAGGAAACTGAGACTGAAATGACTGACAGTGTCTCCTTGTTTACAGAATCAGTCTAGCAGGCTGGCTGCGCTTGCCGTGGAGCATAATCTCTGCCACAGTTTCCAGACATTCAACACCTCTTACTCTGACACTGGCCTCTTCGGTTTCCATTTTGTTTCTGATCCTCTGACCATAGATGATATGATGTTTTGTGCTCAGGGGGAGTGGTAAGTACAACTTCTGCAAACGTTCCTGTTTCGGATCTGACCCTCTTGTGGGAGACAGTCTGCAGAGAGCTGTGTCTCTTTATGAACTTCTTGGTAACTTGCATTCTAGTTGAGTGATCCTGTAAGTGGCTTCTGTAAATCTTTTAGCTTCTGGCTTTTGAGGAGCTGTTTCAATTCCTTAGGGCTCTTCGGCTCTTTTGTTCATGCTTTCAAGTATTAGCACCAAGGCTTTGTTTTTTTGATATACAAGTGAGATCATTCCTTAGAGACAAGGCTTTCCTAAGTGCCCAAGAGACGTATCTCCATTGGCTTGTTAAGCTTGAGCAAAGCAGGCAGAGTTCCTGCCTCTCACACTCTTGTGTTGTGGCTGATGAATGTCCCACTGCTGGAGTCATGCCAGTGTTTGGGAGCCTTCTGGCTGTCCATCTTATTGTGTCCATATCCCAGTAATGGTTTGAGGATACATCTGAGATTCAGAGCTGAGCCATGCTGTGTATGGAGCAGGTGGAGTGAGCCCTTGCCCCAGAGACATTGCTGTTGGCAGGGGAGGAAGGGATTTAGCAGCTGGAATCCAAACAGACTCTGTGGAACTGCCTTATTCTTTCAGCATCAGTTTCCATAGCAGCTTGCCATGCGTGGGAATGGCTGACACGCCTTCCTTCTCCTGTGATAGGGCAATGCAGAGTGCTTGCTGCTGAGCCTGCTGGGCAAGCTAGAGCCAGCACAGGGCTGCTTAGACCTTTGTGAGTGTAACTCAGCGTGTGTCCTGCTGCCTGAATCTCTGCCTCTGAGCTTGAGCTCTTGCCTCCTGCTGTTCAGGGCTCCCCAGTTCTTAGCTGCTCTGTGGAGATCAAGGATGAATCTCAGCCTGCAAGACAAGCTGTGTTGATAATAGCTTATTTTTGCAGAGGCTTGGGAAAGGGAGGAATTCACTTTCTGTCTGAGCAGACAGACATCTTTAAGAGCTTTCGTGGTCTTTCCGTCTCCTCTCCAGGATGCGTCTGTGCACTAGTACCACAGAGTCAGAGGTGAAGAGAGCCAAGAACTATCTCCGAAATGCCATGGTGGCTCAGCTGGATGGTATGTTCTGGTTTGTGGATTGACCACTGGTGCAGCTTTTACAGGGTTACTGCTTGTGTCTCTCAGGAGGAGCAGGAGCTGTGCTAGACATTGCAGTTTTGCTGGCAAGCTCTGGGCAAAACTTCCTTTCCCTGCTCTGCATTCCTCCTGCCATGTTGTCACAGCAGCTGACCCCAGCCTGCTGCGCTCCAGCAAGTGACATACAGCCTGGTGATGTTAGAATTGAGACCCTCAGACTGGTCTGCCTGGGCTGTAACACTTTGGAGACCAGTGAAATAATCCATGTATTGCTTAGCCCCTGCCAGAGCTGAATAGAGTGTGAATTACGACTGATCCTTCCTCAGCAGCTGGTGTAATAGTTAGAGTTTTTTCTGTCCTTTGATGGTCAGGATGTGCAATTCTGGAAGACTTTCTGCTACTCTGACCATGTGATATCTTCAACATCTAGGTACCACACGAGTGTGTGAGAACATTGGAAGCCACCTCTTGAACTATGGACGCCGTATCCCTCTGGAGGAGTGGGATGCCAGGATTTCTGTAGGTATCTGTTTGTTTTGGCTGGGGTTCCTGAGCATGTTTGGTGTCAGCATTTTCTGGCCTTAGTTTGCTGCAGTAGCACGTGGCTTACTTATCCCTTAGTCAAACTGCCTGGAGTCCAGGCAATTACCTTGCCAACACTGGTATGAATGTCAGAATCTCTGGCACAGACTAAGTGTATCCTGTGTGTCTGTGGCTGGAGTCAATCCATCCCAAAGAGAGGCATACACCTGTGTTAAGCAGCACAATTTGAAATCCTTTAACAGTTTCCCTAGGGGTGGCTAGCACTTAGTTTCTGTCATTCTGCAGCGACTGTATTCCTCAGAAGGCTGCAGGTTTTGGACTGCCTTGTCTGCTGTACCCTCAGAAGAATGTGCTGTGTAGGACATTAGCATCCTTGCAAGCCGAGATGGGCAGTCAGTGCAGATGGCCCCTAAGGGCCTGAGTGTATCTTTTTAATAATCTTGATATGTAATGGCAGCAGTAACTTTCAACTTTGAGAAGTGCAGGTCTGCTGGAAGAGTCATTAATTGCTTGTTTGATATTTATTAGGCTGTTGATGCAAGAATGGTGAGAGAGGTCTGCAGTAAATACATTTATGACAAATGCCCAGCAATTGCAGCAGTTGGTGAGTAGTATGTGGCACTTAGTACTCTGTAGCTCAAAAAACAGGATGGGGTCAAGAGCTGAGTGGAAGTGAGTGGCAGGCAGTCCTCATGTGTCCATCCTGACCTCCTAACCACTCTGGTTTTACTGGTATCCTCCTACCTCTGTGCATGAGGTGTGCCAAGGCATGTTTGCCTGGAGATCAGACCTGCAGGTGATGGAGACGTGGTGACAGTGAGCTGCTGGCCAGCCTCCCACCTCTCCTTGCTGTGGAGCTGTGACTAAGACTGGGAGTCCTATAGCTGGATGTGGGCCCAGCATGTCTGCCAGGTGTCCTTACCCTGGGGTCACGGTGGTTTATGTAAGGGAAGTGAAGGGACCTGATTCTCCTGTGCTGCTCTGGCATGTCTGTCTGGCCAAGGACAAATTCCTCTCGGAAAACCTGCCTAAGCAGCTCAGCTCCGCTCTGTTGCCTCCTTCCTGTGTGTTTTGAATTCCCCTCCTTGTTGCAGCTGTTTCCTCTGGCCTTCAAAGTGGAGCACTTTAGAAAAGGGAGACAGTTTTTGAACAGGAAGTTGGAATGACATGGTGGCTCCCTGTATTTCATACCTGTATGTGGAGCTGTACTGAGCATTGTGGAGCAGTGTGAGAGAACACCTTATTCTGTCAGGAGATGGTATCAGCTGGTTTTCCTGGTGCAGGTTTGAGCTGTAGTTACCTGGCTTTGTGCAAAGCTGCTCTGGATTGTGAGCACAATCTGCTCTGCCACCATCTGTTTTAAGACCATGAGAAACTGCACAGGGATTTTAACTATGTTTCCAAGTGACTAACTCTTACTCTATTCACTCAGGTCCAATTGAACAACTCTTGGATTACAACCGTCTCCGCAGTGCCATGTTCTGGGTCCGTCTCTAGGATGTTTGCCTGCAGGTTAAAAGAGTGAAGCTGTGGACTGTGACCAGTTCCCTCTGGCTCCAGATGTCTTGTGCACCACGGGCAAGCTGAGTCCATTCAAACCAGCTGTCTTCTCAGTGATAAATGTATAAAAATAAATATATCCTCTGTGGAGTTGGTTCTTCTGGGAGTCAGTTGTGTCTTGATGGGTTGTGTATGCAGACATTGTTGATCTTGCCAAACTGGGGAGGTATTGAACCAATCAGTCTTGATTTGTCAGGGCTCATGCTACAATCTGAGGAGCTCAAGCTATTGCTAGACAAACATCTTTCCAGAGGGCCTATGTTATAATAACCCATATGTTTCTATATGGAGATGTGTTACCTCTCATCTCAAGCTTCCTGGTTATCTGTAAAGCAGCTCAGTAGTGAGCAGAGATTGTTGTGGAGTCTGTTGGTGTTGGTCTACACATTCTTGTTGCAGATGAGCCTCCATCCATCCAGTTGGGCTCAGCTATGCAGTAACAGAAGCCGCTGGCTGAAGTATAGGCTGACATGGTCTGTACCTGGAAAGTAATCTCTAGGTCTGAAAAAATTGGAAGAGCTACACAACCCTTTCTGCTTTTTTGGTATTAAAACAGTTGTTGCTCCCTTGTCTTGCCTCTGGGAATCTGGAACCTGGAACAGAAAGGATGAAACTGAGCAAGGTGGGTGGAGGAGAGCTTCCCACCAGGTGGCACTAGCCTGTCACAGCTTCCCTTGGAAGCTGCGAGGTACTCCTGTTTGATCTTTGTCTTTGGGATAAATCTCCTTGGGATTCTCATTTAATTTCCAGGTTGTGCCCTGACAAGTGAGATTTAAAAATAGTGTAAAAGTTTCTCGGAGTTAGTCATTACACTTGAGACTAATCCAGTGTACTAAATCATTTGTGCTGAATCGGGATTCTTGATCAGAGAGTCTGTGTCTGAACTCATTGCGTATACTAGGCAAGTTTGAAACTGTTAAATGTTCTTGATGCAATTTGGGTTTAACTATCATCGCAAGCTCTGGCTCGTTACAAGTGCATTGAGGGCTGAAAAACTAAACATGTTCACTTATGCCTCAAGCCTTGTGGAACGAGTAAATTATTCTGACTTGGTTTTGTGACTGCAATCAGACTGTAATCCTCTTCTGTCTTCCATTGCTATATATTTTCCACTCCCGGGTGAGCTTCCAGGGTGTTTTGCAGTTGGTGAGAAATACAGGGAAAGGGAGATGCACATCCTTGCTTTAACATTTCCTACAAGTCTTCTTCTTTGGAGGTATCTCCTTGGGAGTGCTTATTTTCCTTGAGTAATTAATTCCTGAGGCCCTTCTGCACTAGTTTATACTAGGAACAGATTCAAACCCCTCTGCAATGTCTGCTTTCCGCATTGCTCTGTTTCTCTGTGAAAGCAGCTGGCTGAGCTGAGCAGTGTGCTCCCAGCACTTCAGTGAGCCAAAGGGCTGCAGCTCTGCAAGGGTGCTTGGCTTATGCAGCCTTAGATGGATTTTGTAGATGTTTTTTCCAAGTAGAAACATGAGTATCTGGGCTGATCTGGACTAGGAGCCGTGCCCTGGTGGGTGACATTGGGTGCAGAGGCCTGTTGGGTGCTTGCTAGTGGCTAGGAGTTGAGTCTGAACCATGCTCAAGGTGTTGGGATCTTCTGGCTGCAGTTGTGATGGCATTCTGCCTTGTAGTGCCTGTTGTGTTTGGGTTCTGTGGCAGTCCGTGCTTCCAGAAACATGGGCATCTCACCAACTAATGGATGGAGAGGTTTGCCCTATCATTTTTCCTTGGTAAACAGCAGGCATTCAGACTAGGGATCTAAACGGTGGGGAGGGGAAACCCATTCAGGAGTCAAGAGTGTTATTGCTTGGCAAAGACACTCTGAGCCTTATGAGGGGTTTGGGAAGTGTAACCTGGAATTGGTGCAGCGTTGTTGAGCATTTGGCAGCTGAATCACTCGGTGCTGGAGGAACTGAAGCTCTAATCTCCCTGGCAGGTCTCGTTTGAGCTGTACAGGGATGTTTCTGTTGCTCCACTGGAGCAGGCTCAGTCCAAGGGAATCCAAACTGGGAAATGTGTGTCATGACAGAAGTGTCCTACCTCGGTGCTTTTCCTGAACCTTGAAAAAGTGGTATCTTTCTCTGGACCTCTCCCCTCCCCTTTCTGCAGTTCCCACTGCCCAGTGAAGGACAGTGGCAGTGCCAAAGAAGGGAGTTGGAACCATCCCTAGGACCATCCCAAGTTCACTGTAACTGGAGATGGCCTGAGTGACCTAATAAATCTGTTTCCTGGCTCCATGGACAATGCAGGATTGTTCAGTGAGGCTCTTTGACCAGTTTAGTTTTCAATGGCTTAAGTGTTTTATTTTGCTACTTCACTTGGAAGGTTACTTGGGATCCCATTAGACTGTGCTGATAAATTTAGCCTGGTGTATGAATTGGCCTTTGCTCCCTCCCCTTCTGCATGGTCTTATCCTCTCCCAGTGAAGTTCCCTTTTTGAAGCTTGTGCCCTCCACCTACCTCTAGGCAATTGCTTTTCTCCATGACACCTTGGCACTTTCTCTTGGCTGGTAAAGAGGAGGATTTGGAAAGGAGGATAGTGTGCATTGTTGTGTGCACCCTGTGCAAGGCTCTGCACAGCCACCTGCACAGTGCTTGAGTGGCTTGTCCACCATGCAGAGCTATTCCAGGTATGTAAACTCTAGCTGGCGAAATGGGGAGCACTTGCTACAGCCCTGTGCTGAGCACTCCAGGGCACCCTGGTCTCTGCAGGAAAAGCTGCCTGTGTCCCCAGCACAGGGCTGCAGGGCTGGGCACATGTACAGGGTGGATCTGCTTGTGGAGCAGGCAGCCCCTTTGATATGTGAGATGCTTGTTTGGGATTCGGGTGCTTGCCAAAGAGGGGCCACAGCAGCCAATTGTCAGAGTTGCCTCACCTGAACTAATTACCCACCCTGGAAAGTACAGTTGATACTAATCATAGGTGCTGAGCCAAGCCTGTCCTCGGGAAACAGGGAGCTGCAGGGAGGCTTTCACAGAAATGAGAAGCTTGGAGCTGTGCCACTCTTCGGTGCCAGGGAGCTGTTGGGAGGAGAGCCTACAGCCCTCTGGGCCTGATTCTCTACCTGCTGTCATGCCAAGGCTGGTGAAAAGTGGCAGTGGAAGCCATAGGTAAGTGGGGTGTAGAAGACAGACCAGCAGTGCAGTTCCATGGTGTCTCGTGTCTCTGGAGCCTTGCTGTGCTCAGACCGGTGTCAGCATGGCTGTGGCCAGGGACCTTCTCCAGACAGCCCCTATGTAGTATGGTTTGCTTTGGAGGGGGTTGAGTTTTCCCTGTGCTGAAGTGTCACTCAGTGGGGCTGCAGGATCCCCAGGCTGAGGGTGGCACATGGTGCTTGGCAGACTCATAGGCTTTGCCCTGGCCAGGGCTCCTGCACTTCACCTTGCTCTTCTGTACACCATCAGGACTTTGTACACCAGGAGAGAAGAATAGTGAGCAGTGGTATCTGGACATGTATCCAGAAATCCCATTTACTCTTTGGAAAAGGAAATGGCTCATGTAAAGCTTTAGTGAATTCATTGCATGGAAAAGCAGTGGACAAAGGGCCCATCCAGGCCTGACTGCCAGCTGCAGCCATCCCAGGCTGCTATGAGGCACGAGGCATGGAGGCAGGAGTTGTCTTTGTCTCAGCTCTGTCTTTAATGGTGTGTCTGGAGGGGTGAGTTGGAGCCCTGAACACCCTCATTAAAAGCTGCTTTACCCCACGTGCCATCCGAAGAGGATCGGTGGTTCTCATTTTTCTGTGCAACTCTCTGCCTTCCAGTCCTTTCCCATTACACATTTTCTTTCCTTGGGGCCCTGAGGTTTTTAATGGGACTGCCAGTCTGAGGTTTTGGCTTTGCTGCCCATTCAGCCCATTGCTGGGGATACCCAGAAAAGCTCCTAGAAGCATGTGGCCTGGAGGAGGATCTGCCCAGGTTCCTCAGCTGCCCAGGAATGGAAAAAGGAGTTGCTGGCGCAGCACTAGGATGCTGGGAAAGTTCCAGCTCTGGTCTGTGAGAAGAGAAAGGGTTTTTTCTGTACTAAGAAGTGTCAATGGTACCTGTGCTGGATCACCTGCCTGGTGTCCTGGACTGCTCCTGCTCGGGGTCCCACCATCCACCACTGAGCCTCTGCTGCACTCTGGGATTATTTAAGCCTCCATATCCTGCCTTGGTGTGACAGCTGCATGGCACAGACAGCACGAGGACAGCAAAGGAGGCTGGAATAAATGCCACATGATCTGATTTGAGCAAGGCTTAAGATACTGAAACAGGAGCCTGAATATCTGAGTGCTGTTCCTGGTTCCACCAAGAGCCTGCAGTAGTGACATCGAGCATTCAGCTTCCCTGGGCTCTGTGTTGCCCTGCTGTGCAGGTGGGTGCTGACACCAGGTGTAATGCACAGAAAAGAGCTGCACCCTGTGCACTCAGGTGTGCAAAGTGTTTTGTAAGACAGCCCCAGTGCTGTGTGCTGCTTTCTGCTTTGCACGTGACTTTTATTCAGAGTAGGCATTTGGATGATGCTATAAAGGGAATGTGCTGCTTATCTTCGATTTGTTATGTATTTAGGGAAGAATCTTCTGGGGAATTTTTTTCTTCCTTATTTGAATGTTTAATCTCAGGAATCAAGTTGTGTTGCTTCAAGTTTCAGCAGTTGATGTATTTCAGCTTCTGCAAAGTGCATTCTGAGCTTCTCAGGGCTCGGTGTACAGTTTAGCATTGTACAGGTTTCTGTATACCAAACCCATGACCCTTCCATTCAGACTGTGTCGCTCTTGAGCAGTGCTCATAGTGATCAAGAGACAGACTTGGTGCTACCCATGAAACCTGGAGGGTGGGATTTCCAGGTAGGAATAACTGCCCGTGGGTATGTCAAGAGGGGCTGGGGTCTCTCACAGGAGGCTTGGTGAGCAGTGGCTCTAGGAAGTGGAGCAGCAGACAGTGCATCTGTGCCAAGTTCCTGCCTCTGCTCCGCTGGCATGGAGGATGCTCCAACATGCCGAGGAGCTCCCAGGAAGAGGTGGCAGGTAAGTGTGCTTGAGCCCTGGGCATCTCGGCTCCACGTGGCAGTTCTGCCTTTCCACCCCTTCCCCTGCTGGCTGTTGCAAGGCTGGAGGTCTCCACT